CTCCCCCGGCCCCCCCGGCCCCCCCGCCCCGGCCGGCACTGCCCATGGGCCCGGCACGATGCCGGTGCGGCGGGGGCACGTCGCCCCCCAGAACACCTTCCTGGACACCATCATCCGCAAGTTCGAGGGGCAGAGTGAGTGGTGGTCGCCGGGGGCGGGGGGTCCGGGGGACGCCGGGGGGATCAGGGGCGGTGCCGAGAGGGCTCGAGGGGAGCAGCGGGAGTGGGGGGACAGGGAGGGCATTGGGAGGCAGCGGGGGGCACCAGGTGTGGAAGGGACTGAGGGGACATTGGCTCTGGGTGGGTTTGAGGTGACGGGGACAAGCCCAGCTGGGGAGCAGCACAACCTGCCCCAGTCCCCAGGAGACCCCCAAACTCCCCAGCAGCCGCCAGCATCCCCAGCCTTGGGTGAGTTTGGGGTGACAGGGATAAACTCAGCTGGGAGGGACACTGCTCACCCTGGCTCCCAGCAGTCTCCAGYTCTGGGTGGGTTTGGGATTATGGGGACAAGCCCAGTGTGCAGGGGATTACTGCCCCSCATGGTGTCCAGTAGCCCCTGGCTCTAGGGTGCTAAAACTGTGTCTTTTCCCTGGTCCCTGAGGGGTGATGGTGCCCCCACCACCAGCTCAGGCTGCTGCAGGACTGGGGGCCCCACCTGGCTCATGCCCCCCCATCCCACTGCCCAGCAACTGCTGTGGGGAGACCTGAGAGAATGGGGGCTCTGGGGGGCTGAAAGATCTGGGGTTTCCASCACCTCTCTGGGGTCAGGCCCTAAGCATCCCCAGACTGGGGACAGGGCAGGGATGTGGGGGTGATGCTGCCCTATAGGTTGGTCTGGAGGGTGTCATCCTGCTGGGGGACAGGCTGTGCTCAGGGGGCCTGGCCTGGCTGAGCCCCTGCCCTCAGGGTTTGGTTTTGGGGGTTCCAGGGTCCCATGGTAGTGGTGTCTGTGAGGAATCTCTTCAGTTGTGGGGATCCCCATGGTGATGAGATCCCTGCACTGCTTAGGGTCCTGGGGTCCCTGCAGTTGTGGGGTCCCTGTGAGGTTTCTGTAGTGGTTGGGTCCCTGCAGTGATGAGGCCCCTRTTGTTATGGGGTCCCTGTGATGATGGGATCCCAATAGTTCTGGGATCCCCATGGTGGTGATGCCACCAGCTTAGAGGGTCCCTGGGAAGCAAGCGAGATGACTTACRCAGTGTTTGTCCCCGGGAACCTCAGAGCCATGGATGGACGGATGGAGAGGACCCAGGGGTGCTCTGGCCTGACCCCGCCCATCCCCTCTCCCCCCAGGCCGCAAGTTCATCATCGGGAACGCGCGTGTGGAGAACTGCGCCGTGATCTACTGCAACGAGGGGTTCTGCCGGCTCTGCGGGTACTCGCGGGCCGAGGTGATGCAGCAGCCCAGCACCTGCGACTTCCTGCACGGGCCCCGCACCCAGCGCCGCGCCGCCGCCCAGATYGCCCAGGCCCTGCTGGGCGCTGAGGAGCGCAAGGTGGAGATCTGCTTCTACCGCAAGGACGGTACGGACCCTGCCGGGGACAGGGGGTCAGCCGGGGACAGGGGTGACAGGAGGGCTGCACTGAGGACGGCAGCTGTGGGGGCACAAGGTGGAGATCTGCTTTGGCCACAAGGATGGTGCTCACCCTCCTGGGGAGGCTGCACTGGGGGCAGGGGGACAGCAGGCACGGGGATGGACCTGAGTGGCAGGAATTGTTGGCACAGGACCAAGGGACTCCAACACCCCTGGGGGACTGCAGTGCTCCCCAGTATTGTGATGGCTCCCAACAGAGTGGGAGCCTGGCACTGGTGGCTCCGGAGGGGCACTGGCATCCTGCGAGTCTGCCGYCCTTCCTAGTGCCGTGATGGCCACCAGGTGGGGCCCCGGGAAGCCACATGTTGTGGGTCAGGGTTTGGGGGGTGCAGTGATCCCCCACAGGGGGTGATGGGCGATGCAGAGGGACCGTGTCTCCTGRAGCAAGGACAAGGATGAGAGAGGAGGGAGCTGAGCTGGCATCAGGCATCACGGTGCCACCATCTCTGTGGGGGTGTGGGGTATAACGGTGCAGGTGACATCCCGGGGGTCCCTGTGCCAGGAGGTGGGAGCTGTGCCTCACAGAGCCTGGGCCGGGCCTGGCTCCTCATGGKAGTGCTGGTGCTGTCCCTCACCATGGCCTCATGCCAGCGCCAGGTGTCCCGGCTGTCACCACAGCTGTCCTGGTTCTGGCACGTGGCCCCGGTTCCGGTGCTGGAGTAAACAAAGCTGATGCCAGCTGCCGGTGTGGCCACAGTGCCATGCACAGCCACCGTGGTCCCAGGGGCCCTGGTGGGGTGGGCTGGGGCTGGAGACATGACTCGTGGCCCTGGGACCCCCAACCTGCTGCTGTGGCTCTGCTTGGCACGCCCCAGTGCCCTTTGGACCGTGCAATGCTGAGGGCCGTGGGGCACAGGTGGCACATGGATGCCCTCCCCCCGCACCTCATTAGGGTAACACTGATCACCCTGCCGGGTGCCACTGGCTGTGCCAGAGAGGTGGGGGAAATGGGGCTCCTCCTTGGGGCCTCCCTAGGGTCGCCAGGGACCTCTGCACCCTAGCTGTGCCCCCCAAACAGTGTGGGGGTCTCACTCCCTACCAGTCCTTGGGTATTGCCAGGAGAGATGGGACGGGAGGGTCCCAGGAGTGATGGGAGGGCCCAGCCCCTGCCAGTCCTTGGGAGCTTCTGTGGGCCGCTGGGAAAGTGTGATGGGGCCCTGGGGGTGCTCTGTGATCCCCCACTGGGACAGAGGCAGTCTATGGGGACTGGCTGCCCCTTGGGATTTGGGATGGCACCCTCGGCAGTGCGTGAGCTCGGGATCTGGCATGTCCTGCACCCCCACACGGGCCCCTTGGCTGGGCACTGCTGTGGTGGGTGCTGGCCCTGGGGTCTGCAGTGATGCCCCATGGGTGTCTCCTCCCCATGCCACAATGCTGGTGCAGGCTGGCACAGGGGGTGCTTGGAGGGGCTCCCCTCGCTGCAGTGGAACCCCGCAGACAGTGTGGGGCAGGGACCTTGTTGCCGTGGCTCCATCTTCATGGCTGCCCGTGGCATCTCTGGGGCTCCAGGMACTCCCAGTGCAGCTGCCACCCCAMGGGTGCCCTGGGATCGTGTTGTGGTGCGGATTCCACCCTGCAGCCTCCCACCCCGAGCCCCTGGTGTGTCCCAGACCCCGGTGCCGTGTCCTGATCCCGGGAGCAGTGACGGAGCCGTGGTGGAGCCGTGGAGCCGCCGCGTCGCCGCCACCGCTGCTGCAACCATTTGTCTTTGCGACGTGTTGTTTATGGTGCCGGGGACGCCGGCAGGTCATGGCGCCTCCGTGGGGCACCTGTGTCCCCGTGGGGACACCCGGGGGGTGGCCTCAGGGACCCCAGGCTGGATGGGGGACAGGGAGGGGGCACAGACGCCCCCAATCGCTGCTGCGGCCTTTGGGGTCCCCCTGTGCGTGGCCYCTGGTGTTGGTGCAAGGGCGGGAGTGGCCAAGGGCCCGAACGAGCCGGATCGGGGCTTTGTCACTGTGGCATYTCGGGGTGTGGGAGCTCCCCCTGTGGCAGCGGAGTGTCCCCTGCCGGGGTGCAGATCTGGGGGTGCAGGGGCAGTGCGGGCTGCGGGTGGGGTGCTGGGTGTCGGGGTGCAGGGGTGCGGGTCCTGGGGCACTAGGTGCCGTGCGGGGGTGCAGGGATGGGGTCGCGGGGTGCGGGGATGGGGGTGCGGATCGATGGGTGCGGGATGGGGT